ATTTGTTGAACAATTGTAGGAGGAATTGTGGAAGGAGTCAAAACAGCCTGGGGAGGAGCAGCAATAGCAACAATCACGATTGGCAAAGAAGGTACCACAAGAGAAGATATAGAAAAAGAATCAAGGGGTGCTTCATCAAAAACTGGGCCTAAACTTTCACTACCAAACCCACGGGCAAAGAGCTGTTCAGCAGAATCATGAGCAGCAGCGGGAGTATCATCATCAGAAATCACCAACGAGGTTTCAACAAGCTTGGTGGGAGGAATATAACGAGGGGGAGATGCTTCATCATCTGAAATAATTCGTCTTCTAGCCCGTGGCCTTTTTAGTAAAGCACCCCATCTTGTTCTTTCTCCTCTTCAGAGTCTTGGTCAACAATAGTTTTCCTTTTTGATGAAGAACCCAAAATTATCTCTTGGGCCCTTTCCAAAGAAATTCTGGAAGCTACGATGGCCTCAACACTTATGCCTCGAATGGGAAATCCTGACAAAAAGAAGGATCAAAATAATATCTGGAGGAAGCAATAAGTGAATTTATTAAAAAAAAAACTCTTATCGTGAGTTTTCACATTCCAACCAAATCGATGAGAGAGGTTTTTCCAAGACCTACTGTCCATTGGAGCAACATTCAATAGCTTTCTTACCCAACCACGGAAGTTGGGAATTTCATCAACAACTCCCATGGTTGCTGAAAAAGAAAAGGAAAATTAAAATGATGATCATCAAAATTGAGAAAAAGATACGAGAAAGTTATTGAAAAGAAAACTCACGTGAAAAATTCCACTTCTCAGGAAAGGGAACATTTTCATCATCCACTAAACCAACAGTGGGGGCAGCAACAAACCTGGCGTACCAGCCATGGTCTTTATCATCTTTTGGACTGACCAAAACTCTTTTACTTCTTGCCAGTAGAGTAAAGACTTCTTGGCGAAAGAGTTTGGGAGAATAGAGATGGATTAAATGAAAAAATATAAAAGGTATACCAGCCATGTTAGCCAAATGCCTCAAACAAGCAACAGCCACACAATAGGGCCAATTTGTCCTAAACAGACGTCGAAAAAATGACAGAATTCGAGGATAACTGGGTCAATAACAGGTTTGAAACCCAACGTGAAAGGATATGTATAAACAAAAGAAAACTCAGTTAAATAAGAGGTGATTCTTTGGTTTGTATTGGGGATTATAATGGGGAAGTCATGACTCCAATGGCAATCTCTACGAACTACAGAAATCAAAACTTCAGTAATTTGAGTTGGGTAGATGTTAGCACGATCTAATGAAGACAGTTGGTTTCTGATGGATTCTCTATCATTGTAGAAAGATAGTTCCGCGGGAATACTTTCATCCACTAAAGGTTCACGAAGAGGATCAATGGGTTCTTTAGTCCCTAGATGAAGATCTTTGAGAAAGTGAACCCCTAGTTCTAGAAGGTGGAGTAGAACTCAATGAAGGAATAGAGGGGCCTCGTGATGAAGAAGACCCTAAACTACGAAGCCTTCATCCTCTTCTACTTCTAATAGGAGCAAGAGAAAGGTTATCAATAATGGTGACTCTCCGAGGGTTAGGGTTTGAAAAAGACATAGTAGTACGAGGAAGAAGAAAATTAAAATTGAATACTCTAAACTTTTTGTGAAAAGACAAAGGTAAAAAGTTATATTTATAGTCAGAAGCAACCGTCAAAGGAAAAAGCGCAATGATGGAAACATCATAATGAGAACTGTTGCTTCGTAATTGACAAAGCCGTAAAAAAGCCTTAAAATGCCCTGAAGGGTTGCAGAGCCAACCAGGAGACACCATGTGTCATGGACATTAAATGGAAGAGACAGATGAAGTATCAGTTCCAGGGAAGAATTAATGGCGGGAAATATTCCCGCTTTAATGAGGTCCACTTCCCAAATATTCTATTGATGAATAAATGGCAAGTGGAGGGACTATCTGTATTGGAAAAAATTAAGTTTATATATGGAATTCATTATAAGATGACACGTGGACCAGTCAAAGAAAGATAGGTGATGACGAATAATCAAAGAGGCATGAGCTTCAACAGGCACAAGCAGATATTTAGGGAAAAAGCAAGGAGGATAGGCGCTCGAACCACTTTATGATGGAAGAGAATGAATCTGATAGTAAATAAGGTATAGATACGTACTATTGGGCATTAAATACGGAAAACGTTAAGGAATCTGTATTGAATCAAATATGATTACTGATTGTAGTGTTACATTAAATGTCATTAAATGCCATTAATTGACAATAATGGCTCAATTATGGTAGAAACGAAACGTATTACCTAGAAATAGTTATAAAAGGAGAAGACTGATTATTTGTAAAGACACGAAATACTATTGAAATACATTGATTTACTTTGCATTCGATTATTATTTCTCAATTATTCCTATTTCTATTTGATTATCAGTAACTCGAGTTCTTCTAATATAAGCTTTGACCGAAGTCCTTATTTTTGGTTAAACAGGTATGCAACAAAAGTACACCACCTATCTCTTAATCTATTTTTGTTTTGGGAGCCTTGTTGTTTGAGGATATCGTGGGCATAGAGATGTTCATCAGGTCAATGAAAAAGATTAGTCCACCAAACAATGCCCTATTCTGAGAAAACTTGATAAAAAGTTGAGAATATTCTCTTCTTCGAACATCATAGTTGTAGAAGTCATACAAGAAGAGTATATGGTAAACAGGGTAGATGCAAAAATTTGATTATGGTAAACCTAATATTACTTTGGATGGATCTTATACTATTTTAGATGTCTAACAGATTTTGAAAGAGAAAAATTTGTTTTATCCCAAACAGAACTCTAACTTGAGAGAGAGAGACGATAGTTAGAGCAATATCAGGGACGTTGAATGATAAAAGGGAATAATATCTTCAAATAATTCATAATAGAGAAATATCAGGGAGGTTAAAAAATATCATGTATTTTGGGTAACCAAAAGTTACCATATATACTAGGGAATTCTTGTAACCAAAGAATACAAGTTGTAAACAGTAAATTTTCATAGTCCAACCCTATAGGGTTTTAGGATCCAATCTATATAAATATATAAAGCAGGTCTTAACAGAGCTTATGTGGCACTTCTCTTAAGCTTGTAAAGGGATTTATCTTTTTTGTCATTTTTTTGCTTTTTAGTCTATTTTCCTATCAGTAAATCTTTATCTTCCAAAAGAAAGAATGAAACGTTGCCACAATTGAAATAATGGAAAAACAAATTCTTTCTTCCAACAGAAATTAAAGAACGAAGCGTCGCAACAATTGAAATAATTGAACGGTTACAATTTGCAATAATACTGATAATTAAAGTTGAAAAGGAGCAATACCAACAGTTTGCAACTTATGCAAGTATTTCTATAAGGATTTTAGTTAAAGACATTCTTGTCCGTAAACTATGATGTGAGAAGCACCAGTCACCATTTCCAAACGCCTCACACAATGGCATTTCAATGCAACATATTATCGATGTTACTGCTCCGGTAGTTTGCAAGCCAATATTATGGAACTATGGATCAGAAAGTTAATTAACAAGGTTTCCGATTAAGCTTGAAAAAGAGGTAAGCAAACTTAACCTCGCCTATTTTCTATATATTCAAAAGGTTGTGCATTGTTTTACTCTATCTATATTGAGATCTCCACAAAGTAAAGAACTTTTAATTATTTGCTACTATAAAATCTGCACGAACTGTGAGTTTGTTAGTGGATTTTTGGTTCTTCATATGTGTCGGAGGAGGAAGTAATCACACATTCCGTGAGATTGAAGAAAAATATTTGTTCAGGCTGTGTCCAAAAGTTATGGAGTTGAATGTAAATAATTTTTTCAAGTAACTATTTAGTTCAAACTAGAGTGAAATATTGTACATCTTAAATAAACACTTGGAAGCGCTCACTGGAAAGATATACAGCTTTTCTTATCCATCTTTTGAAAGCCGTTTCTAAAATTACAATAAGGTGCAAATCAATTTAAATATTGGCATAATTGTAGTAAGGCCACGAACATCCACAAACATTATCTTTTTAAGGAAAAAAAACTTATGGGAAAGCAAAGAGCTCCACATAGCACTTCCAAATGGAGAAATTTGATATAAATATGTGCACACGTGCTGCATAAATATCAACATTAAAAAACATATAAGTGAATAAGTACACTTAGACCGGAAAAAATACAATCTTAATAAGCTACAATTAACAGGTTCTACATCGATCAAAGTTGGATCTAGAATTTAAGATATATGGATTCTATCTATAGGTTCTTGTTATTGAACTCATTGTATTTTTAAAGTTATGAGTTCATCCTACAATTTTACTGGAAATTTTATGCATCAATATATGTATTTTCAACTCTTTTTTCTCTCTCACATGCTTAAGGAGAGTAAATATATTTTCTATACCATGAGATCACGGGATGATAGAAAATACACTTTTACAAGTTGGTGTGTAGTTTGAACTATGAGACCAGTTGAGAGGGGACTTATGTAATAACCATTTTTTCAGATTTAAAATAAGGAAAAATTATACAAGTATTAAAATTTATCTCTAATGAATGGAAATAAAATTAAGTACTTATATACATATATCAAATAATGTATACAAAGAAAATACTACATGTCTTAACGTTTGTTACTCATTGCACATGAGATCAATCTTTCTTCAAACGTTATAACACCTCTAAAGTGATGGAAAATAGAGGAAAACAAGTGTTAACAATAAATTAGATAAAAACTTGAAATTTGATTTATTTAAATTAAATGGCTAAAATATTTTACCATTCACATGTTAATAGAACGATTATTTAAAATCTTTAGTTTTCGAGTGCGGATATATTTACTAGTACTATATAAATCAAGGACGGATTAAAACAACCAAAACTTTGACTTAAAAAAAAAAAAGAATATGGACTAATGTGTCAATTTTACTGTTGCAGACATAGCAAGACTTTTTCTTTTTCCTTTCTGATAAGTCCACTGGAAAAGATTAATTAAAAATTTCTACTGCTATTAGCAATTTATTTCAATTGTTAAGGAAAATATGGGACAAGTGCAGAGCGAAGCCATTGACAACCGATCTCAAATTGATTCATTAAAGGCATCGAAAGCCACCTCTGCTGATGAATCTCCGCCGCAATCTCTTGATTCTTTGATTGCTGGTAACATCTCTATTCTCTGCTTTTACTCTGTTTATTTCTTCTGTTTTTTTTTGCTTTTGGATAAATTTTTTATTCCTTTTTTCAAGAATCCAAAATCAAAGTTTAGTCTTTATTAATAGCTGCACTACAAGGGGCTTGCAAATTTATTAACTTTTTTTTTTCTTCTAACGGGGTTGGAGAAGAGCTGAGATGTGTAGTGAAGGTAGTAATCAAAGAATTAAGAGATTGCACCTAGAGGCGGATTTAGGATTTTAATTCTATGGTTTCAATATTTAAAGTTTTTAGCATTAAACTCATTATATTTTAAAGTTATAGGTCTATATCTACTACTATTTATTTTAATTTTAGTGATATTCACGTATAAATTTATGTTCTGTGGCGAAAGTACTGGGTTAAGTGTATGCTCCATTCGCCCCTGATTGCACCTATTGCTTTTGGCTCAACCTTTATATGCGTATGTTATTAATAAGCGCAATAACTTCACCTCAATATCAAACTAGTGGAGGTCGACTACATCAATCCTCTAGTTCTATTGGGTTCATTTCTCCACTACTTAATAATTTGTAATTAGGGATCTAAAATTAGAGATTCTCTAAACCTCTGGCGTTTCACTACACTATCTCTAATCAAATTGGCCTTTTGTGACCAACTAGTTGGTATTGATACTTTGTCTCCATTGACCAATAAAAAATAAGAAAAAGAGAGAAAAGGAAAGAAACCTTTGTTTCAATGTCTATTCTTTGAATTATATAGTATTTGCAAAGACTTGAGCGCAAGGAGAGCCTTGGCACAACCGTAAATATTACGGCCGTGTGACCAGCTAGTCACTGTGTTCAAGATGTGGAAATAGCCTTTTGCAGAAATGCAAGGTAAGGTTGTGTGCATAAGACCCAATGTGGTCCGGCCCTTCCCCAGATCCCACGCATAGCGGGAGTTTAGTATATCGGGCTGCCTGACAAAGTTTAGAGTAGTACTCTGCACCTTTGGACTTGAAATGTGGATTCATCTACGGTGGTCGGGGAAAGGGAGTAAAGGGGCTGGTTTGTTGAATATGTGGTTTCTTATGTGTCGATACTACGATGAAAGTTATATGCATGACGGTGTCAATATTTTGTTTGTGCGAAATGATGGAGTTGCTATTTAAGGAAGATAATATTGAAAAATGCAGTTTTCCTGCTATCATTAAAGAATTGACTTTCATTTTTGGCTATCTAATGCATGTTTTCTGTGTACTGAGACTTAACATTATGGCCAAGTTCAACTAGTTTGGGATTGAGTCAGAATTGATTGACTATTTGTTGATTGGAACATTGATAAAGCTCTGATTTCACTTCCCATATGAGTAGCTATCAATGCTATTTTCATGTATTGTTTTCTTACTGCAATCTGATTTTTGCAACTATCTCTACTTCTTGCTCTATGTCTCTATAAGTGTTTGTCGTTATCCCAAATTCCTGAGAGACAAATTGTCTTTGGATCCAGTAACTACAGTTGATCTATTTGTATAACATCAAGGTGTATACCAGATCTATAGTGAAAGTATGCTAATTAGTTATTTCCAAAGTCTTGAGCGCCGTGTAATAACAATATGGATTGAATACTTCCTAATGATGTTTGAACCATATTTGTAAAATTTAAAGACTCCTAAGAAATTTTCACAAATAGTCTTCCTTTCGTCTTGTAGAAGCTGCAGCATATGGTGAAGATGGTGAGAATGAGGTTGCTTCAGGCTTTTCGGATCATAAACTTGCTCAATAAAAGTTGAAATTTGTTACTTCTCTTTGCTCAAGAAACTGAAACTCTGTTTTTAGTCCATTGACGATAAAGCTCAGAAAGCCCTAGAATGCCCTTGCATTGCTCATTTACTGAGTGGACCCTGTGGCAACCAGTTTTCAGATGCTTTCCTCTGTTTTCTCAAGAGCACGGCTGAAGAAAAGGTAACTGAATTTGTCTGCTTCTTGCTATTTGTAGAGTTACAATCGGTGCATCTATCTCATCTCTCGTGAAGATATTCGTCACATCTTTTTAATTCAATTTAATTTCAGGGAGCTGATATTCCTCTATGAACCAAGGTTGTTAAGTGCCACATAAGTTATAACATGGTAAACATAGATCAGCTTATTAAGCTATAGTTGTACATATTTCTGTGTCTATATTATGAAAGATTAAAATTATGTGTGTGTTCTTACTTTTTCTTATTTTGAAAAGGGAGGTCAAAAATTAAAATTATGTGTGGCTTTTCTTTTCTGCTTGAGAGAATTAAGGTTTCCTTTCTCCATAGTCTAGAAGACGGCCTCTCTACCTCCATAAGGTAGGAGTAAGGTCTGCGTACACTTTACCCTCCCAGACCCCACTTGTGGGATTTCACTGGGTTTGTTGTCGTTGTTGTTTGTTTCTCCATAGTCTAGACCACAGTTGATGCCCTAAAATTTGGTTGCTTGTGGTAAACTGACTTCGGTGTTATGTAAGAATTACGATCAGAAAGCTTTGTCATCGTCATTCATACGCAACACTGAAAGAGAAGTGCTCAAAATTTTTCTTTGAACTGATAATGGAAATGAACATGAGTTTTCATTCAGTCTTTTACTTACTCGTTTTATTCGTTTTCCCTTTTCATGCTTCTAACATGTGAAAAACCTTCATTTCCGACTGTAGGGCTCTGACTGCGTTAGTCCCTTTGTCGCTCTTCAGAGTTGTATCAAGGCAAATCCTAATGCATTTTCAAAGGACATCCTGGAGGACGATGATAATACCAGGAAACAAGATGAAGTCAAGAAGGAGGAAACACCTAAACAAGAATACAGAATCATCCCCCCCATTTGGTCTGTAGAATCAAAGGGCTCTAAGCGTAAGGCGTAGAAAGTCTCACCTTTTTCTTTGTTCGTTTTTGGTCCTTTCTAGGAAGCTGGAGTGGTATAACACTACTGCACTAAGTAGCAGTGTATTGAAAAACTTTTCTCGTTGTGATTTACATGATCAGACTTTTGAAGTTTATTAAGCTGGAATTGTAGAGACTACTAGGCCATAGCTTTACTGGTTATTGTTATTGCTTTTCCGTCTATTTTCTGGCTCTTAGAATGCTGTTATTAAGCTGGAATTGTAGAGACTACTAGGCCATAGCTTTAGGATGCTCTTAGGATAAAATTTCAGTCTTCTTGAGCCGAGGGTCTATCGGAAACAGCCTCCCTACTCCCTCGGGGTAGGGATAAGGTCTGCGTACACACTACCCTCCCCAGACCCCACTTGTGAAATTTTACTGGGTTGTTGTTGTTGTTATACACAAAGATAACTTGCTTATTTGGCTAGCAAAAGTTTGGATGGATTCAGTTTCTCCGGTGATCCCAACTTTACCGTTGTCAATTGCTATTTCATGGAAAGCTTTAGTCAGTGTATCTCTATTACATGCGCGCCATGTAGTATTAAATGATTTAGCTTCACATTTGATACTTATGAGGTACGCGAAAGGTCCTTAAATTTCAAAAGGGTGTACAAATAGTTTGGATGATAAAGGGGAATGTCCTATACATTATTCTTTTGTTAGCTGTCTAATATTGATACTGTGGCAGGGTTAACCATGGTTAACCGATAAAGTTTATGTATAAGACTCATGTCATGTATTTATTGGTTTGGTGCACCGGATCTGAGATAACATTTTTCGGGTATTTTGTGATCAACCCTGGGAAGTCGATTTTTTTCCCGTGGAGTGACAAATATTTGTGCAAAAGAAAACATGTAAAATATTAATCCGTTTGACAGATATTTGAATTCACAAACCCCATAAAAAATCTTCTAACAGTACTCCTCCTTTGACAGATCTCTGGATTTTATCCTTTTATCAACATATTCTTTTAGTAATCATTAGAAATTATTAACTTGTCAAATATTAATATTGGAGAAGATCACAATAAATAAAGAACGAAATTATTTTGTTCAGAGGTAGATCCAAGATTTTAATTCTATGGGTTCAAAATTTCTATTTCAGCCACTGAAACTATCACCTTGTTGAGTTATGGGTTCATAGCTCAATTTATTCAGCAATTTTAATAAATTTTATACTGAAAATCCAGGTCTAGCATAAAAGTTATGCCATAACTAATATGCTGGATTCGCCCATGATTCTTTTAAGATTAACAAATCTGTTCCATCTTCTCGTTTTTCAACAACAACGCTGGAAATTCTTCCTTGTTCAACGGCCTCAAAGTGAAAGAAACTTCCCAATTGGTGTTATGTACAATTGCCTAGACAAACTCAGGATATAGAGTCAGCGAGTTTAGAATAAGTAGAATATTTTTTTTAAACAATTGTATATATACATATTGAACCAATAAAACCCGCCCTAAAAGAATAAGTAGAATATTTTTTTTAAACAATTGTATATATACATATTGAACCAATAAAACCCGCCCTAAAAGAATAAGTAGAATATTTTTTTTAAACAATTGTATATATACATATTGAACCAATAAAACCCGCCCTAAATCTGACTCTCTTGACTTGTCCTTCGTATTCTCCTTCGCCTAACGTGTAGAGTCACACAAAGATAATTTGCTTATTAGTTGAAGAAAAGTTTCACGCAGCTTGTGAGTATACAATGTAAGAGTCACATAAATGAAATGATTCACCTTCTTTATACCTTCCTCAATGACCTACATTTCCCTATATATATACATCAATATATGAACATCTTGCAGCCAAGAAATTGTAAAACATGGAAATATTGGAAAATAAAAATGTAGAAGTAAACAGCAGTAAGTACAGGGGAAAAGTATGTGTGACAGGTGCATCTGGTTTTCTAGCTTCATGGCTGATCAAACGCCTTCTATTGTCTGGTTATCATGTCATTGGCACAGTTAGAGATCCAGGTACATGCAACTACTCCTACTCCTACTACTAGACTATGTTATACGCAGGGGCAGATGTAGTGTTCTATCGACGGGTGCAATTGAATCCATAATTTTCGATGCAGAGTAAAAATTTGTATGTAAAAATTCATTAAAATTGCAAAAGCAGATATGAACCCATAAATTTATAATGGGTTCGATGCTGAAAACCTTAAAAGTTGAGCCCATAGGGTTTGAATCCTTAATCCGACTTTGGTTATACGGATCCTTCATTTGCCTCCGCGAGAGCGATATACATATGCAAATGGAGTGTATTTTCTATGGATTCAACCAAACTTTAAGTTTTTGACACAAACATTCTATATAAAGAACATTAAAATTTCAACAAAATTTAAATTCTGAACCAATGATTTTAAAAGTGCAATGAGTTCAGTGCTAAGAACATTAAGATTAGACTCATAAGGTTTAAATCTTGGATCCATCTCTGAAAGATAAAGGTGAAGGTACTTCTTGCAAAGTCTTCAAAATACACTAAATATTAATAAATGCGATATCTTTCTATACCAAATATGTGTACTTAAACGAATCTATGTAACAATAGCTACTAGTAATGGAGATTTATCCACTCAAATCTGTTACATGGCATTGATGTTTTTATGTTAAAATCAGGGAACCAAAACAAAGTAGGCCATCTATGGAGGCTGCAAGGAGCAGAGACTTCATCTGGTGAAAGCTAACCTTACTGATGAAGGAAGCTTTGATGATGCTATTATGGGCTGTGAAGGTGTTTTTCATACTGCCTCACCTGTCTTGGGAAAGCCTACTTATGATCTTACGGTATTCAAAATATTCTGTTCGTTTCATTTTATATGACAATATTTGATTGAACGCGCTTTTGTAAGTCAAACATTTTAAAACTTCACAAAATGAAAAGAGTATCATATAAATTGAACAAAGGTCATCACCTTTAAGTGACTACATGTGCATATGCACGCTGAAATCATGAAACCTGCAATAGATGGTACCTTAAATGTGCTAAGATCCTGTAAGAAAAATCCAAATCTGAAACGTGTGGTTTTGACCTCATCTTCCTCAACAGCAAGGGTAAGAGATGACTGTCACACCTCCTTTTTCACTACCCCGCAAGGGTACAAGAGAGTTTTCCAATTAAAGGACAATTGAAACGGGATTATTATTAAAAAATCAGAGTCGCCACTTGGGAGATTTATGGTGTCCCAAGTCACCGGTTTAATCCCGAATCGAGGAAAAGAATGACTCTGTTTAACAGTCCGCGAACCAGAAATCCGGATAAGGAATTCTGTTAATCCGGGAGAAGGAGTTAGGCATTCCCGAATTCCGTGGTTCTAGCACAGTCGCTCAACTGTTATATTCGGCTTAATTATCTGATTTTATACAAATATGAACTTATGTGCGAATTCCAACCATGAACCGCTTTTATTCAAATTATTAAAGAAACTTGAACGTCGTTTGAAACATGTCTTTAGATCGCGTCACATGAAATGCACCCGCAATCCTGAACACATTTGATTCGACATTTTGGGATTTGGNAATCGATTCGAGTTGGATGTGATTCCGAAGCTACATTATTTTAAATATATGAATTAGCAAAATTGAAACTGATAACTATGCAATTCCTACAGAAATACGTCCAATAGTTCAACAATCTAACAATTTTGCTCAAATTAAACATGCATACTGTATTGACTAATATTCACGTCATTTCAAGGATCTTAGGTCCGTAATCTAACGTTATGCCCTATCTAGCTGCTAATCAGTGATCTTACAAATATAGTTTTAATACTAATGCCTCTACCCTTCATATAACAGGAAACACATAACTAATATCTAACTAAAATACAATTATTCTATAGTAAAATACATAAATCTTCTGTCCATTTTATTTCAACTTCAATAATCAAACATCGAGGTGATTCAAAGTAGTGTACCTGATAATAGAACAAAAGAAGAAGGTGAGGATTAGTAGATCAGTAGCAGACAACAGCAACAACAACAATAACCAACATGCAACTTAAAACCAACGGAACAAAATCCGGCAACCAGCAGTCCGGAAAACCAATGGAGAAAAACCCAGAAATAGCAATGAAACAGTAACAGATGTCCAACAATACACTTCAGGAAATACTACTTGAAAACCAACAATGCCAAACAATTACTGGCAGAAAAACAGAGTGAATCAGGGGCGAAAGGGCAATGGAACAGTTATGGTATTTTAGAATTAAAGAAAAGACCTCACTTTTAGTTTGAAAGTCAGCCTATTTCAACTTTAAAATTACTGAATTCTGATGATAAAATCCAGCAGGTTTTTAACTTGAACTATGAATGTTTTCCCTTTGTTCAAAGTTCAGCTTCCATTCACCCTTAAACTCTGGACTTTTCCCCTCAAAATCCAGTCTACCTTTTCCAACCCCTCCCTTTTCTTTTACTTTCCAGCTACTATATTCCTCTACTATATGAATCATTTTATCTTTTCATTATTACCTACTGTTGCTAATTTCCAATTAGCAAAAGCACCTCTTATTCCTTAGTGGCCCGCCTATCAATAAGCACTAGTTCAATTTAAAGCACACCAGGACCCTACTGGACAGACTACTCAGTCAAAACCATTTTCAAACCTTTGAACTCCCCAAATTACCCCCTGAGACCCCACTGTTATTACTTCATTACCCTAAGCTTTACAAGTCTGAAGTTACATCTATGTAAGTTCAAACCTGAAACTAATTTTGGTTAAACACCTAAATAACTACAGCTATATCCAATTCACAATCCTATTCAGACACAATGATTTAAGGCAGAAGAACAGAAGAAAATCGAAATGGTATTAATCAGGGCAATGAGATAAACTATGAAGAACTGAACGAATAATCTGGTTAAAATAAACAAGACTGAAAACAACAGGTTCAATTCATTACAGATTTAACACAGAAGACAAAAAGAAATGGTAAACCTACTGGAAAACAACCAGGAACTACTATCATGTTTTCTCTAATTTTTCGAGCAAATTAATTGACGACGCTTGATTAATCGATTATACAGGCCATAATGTACAACAATTATCAACAATCAATCAGAAAAAACCACATGTGATTCGAGTAGCATTTGACAGAAACAGTGAGTTGTAATACAACCAACTAATCGATGAAACTAATCACATTGATTATACAGTTTACAACATATACTTAATCAATAAACAGAAGAATTCGACCAAATAAAAGGTCATTGAAGATGGATAGAATCAATCGACGAAAATCGAAAAATCAGTGAAACTTAAACTAAACAAATAAACGGATATAAACACAAAAAATAGAACAAAAGAAGGGAAAAATAGCTCAGTGACAAAGATCAGAAACAGACGACCTTGGGACCAACTTGGACTTGGATTTTTTGAGGTCAAACGGACCTTAATCGAGTGTTCTCAACTGAGAACACTGGACTAAGGTTAGTTAGAAAC